AAAGCCAAATGTTTGAAGAAATATTAGGCCAGACTCTGCTCACAATTTATTTGCTAAAACACTGAGTTCCCAGGATTTCAAATGGGGGAACCTTCCAATGTTGTAGCTTAAAGTGCCCTGATGCTTTGGGGAACAAAAATAGCCCTTTCATACTCAACACCAAAAGCTAAAATAATCAGTAAAAACCAAAGCCTGGCGATAAAATTTTAAAAAAAATCAGACACAAAACCAGGTCCCTGCTGCCACCAGGTTGGCATCCAGGGGTGAGCAAACCTTGCGCCAGGACCCAGACTTTTCCCCTTTCTTTTCCTGCATAGAATAAAAGGAAAACACGCAGAAAACCAAGGTTTGAACACCTAAAAATATTTATAGTATCTTCTAGCCTTTTCTGAGCTTCCAGGGTGTAGCTTTTTTGAGTCTCAAAATAAACTGGATCAGCTAGCAAGAAAAAACCACCTAAGATTGTCATCTGTGGATAAAGTTAGCTTCTGAAATTGTCAAAGGAATTGCTCGAATAATATTTCCACCCCTACCTATAATATTTTATTCATGATTTTAAATTGCTGGAATGGCTGGAGAAAATAATTGAGACTAGGATGACATTGGCTGTATCCGGGATTCTCTTCATTTGTTTTATATCTCGGTCAAGTTTTATTCAGTGCAGCTTCAGTAGTACTTGACTTTGGAGGAATTCCTTTTGCGGAAAAAAGGTTTAATGGCTCAATTTATGCATTGGAAAGGGAATGAGGCCGAATCAGAGCTGGAAATCCCCATGAGAGACGATTTTATGTAACCCATCAAGAAACTTGAGGGTTTATCAAGTCAATGTTGGCATATTAGGCTTTTTGGGACTCTTTTAAATTGATCCTAAATTGCGTATCAATTGAGAGGAAACAAAATCTTGAATTATTTTCGGTTTGAAAAAAGTAGCTCATCAAAAAATCCACTATTTTGTAATACTGTTGGAAAAAATTGCACGAGATAAGAACAAGTTTATTTTAAACAACGAGCGACAATAAAAATGCCGCAAGTATTCGAAAAACTTCAAGTAGTGCACAAATTAAAATAAATCAGAGCAGTCAGTTCAGCACAAAAGAAGCCAATTGAAAATATTTTAAATGCTTGAAGTTTTATCTTTTCCCTCATGATCTCTATTATTTATTTTGAAAACTTCCTGTTTACTAAATCGCTCTTATGTAAATACTTATTCTATTTTTTCAGGTTCTATTTCATGATTTGCGGTTCTTTTACAAATCTTAAAGGCTCTTTTGATTAAAAAAAAGAAATTTGAGTTTTTGAAAATATTTGGAAATTTTAAAATACCCTCAACTCTCCTAAACATCAGTTTAACTTTTTGTTAATAGTGTGAGATGCATTGGTGCTTCATAAAATGCCATCAGAAGCTGATGAATCGTATACAAACAAATTCAAAGCCTCAATAACATACATTTCAAAGTATCGCATTCTTCAATTCTCCAGCTTTCATAATTTTGTAAATAATATAATGTAGTTAAAATTAAATGACCATTTCTCATTATTTCAGCAACTTTCTTCAGACTCCTTAGGCATTCTTTCGAATCGATAAAATGAACCATGCAAATTACAGTAATCATTGATAAAAATAAATAAGAGCGCAATGGCATTTAATCGATTGAACCACGCATCGTTTGTCCAGCTTTTGAGGTTTTTTGGAATACTGTATAGCTCTTTAAAAATCGATTCGAAATGTTCCGGTCTATCGTGCTGTGAGTCGAAAAATAAATTGATGGACGAGGGGCGAACTCGATTTGTTAGAAATACATAAAAAAAAGGTTGTTAGAAATACATAAAAAGGTGAAGGTTATCTCTATAAGAATATCAAGTTCGTACAAATGTGAAATATACAACTTCCGCCACATAAATCTGACGAATGAGTCGAGATTTTTTTTTTCCTTTTATTTTATTTTTTTTCTTCTTCTAGACAATTCTGTTTCATTCCTGTTCGGTTCTTGTCACGATACTCATATTCCCTGTATTATCAACAAACCACTTCACTTCGATTGGTCATGAAGTCACGAACTGAGGGAATGATTTGAAGATAATACACGGGGTGCTGAAAGAAAAACAAAAACAAAAAACGAACTGGCATTTTTGTTTTCTTCTCGTAATGCTGAAATCGGCGAAACAAATTACACGTGATTGCGACATGGGATCATGTTCGATGTTTCTGTGACTTCTTGGCAAAAGTTTCTCGAAGTTATAACAAAACTTGAGGCCTTAATATACAAATTACTGTATGTTAATTTTAGGACATTTAATCCTCTGGCAATTTTGAAATAAAGGTACACAATATTACGCATTCAACTCTCTTTTTCCAGTTCATTTTTCATCGTTATTTCAAGATTTTAAAAATAAAACTTGTGCATTTTTCCGAGCTTAATTTTTCGTAATTTACAATTTCATGACTTTATGCTGCGGCGGATCACACGAGCAGATGAAAGGTCTTTTAAATGAGTATAAGTTATTTTTTAATATAATTCAGATACATTTAAAGTTATTTTTTAATCTAATTCAGATACATTTTAAAAATTCTATGGATCATATTAGTTAAACTTGATTTTAGGAACAGAAATTCTTCATGATGCACGTTTTCATTCCTCTGTTCTGCACATGAAGAAAAAATTTTGCACAAGAAATTCGAATCGTTTATTCCGGGCATGAGATTCTAAAATATATTCCTTGCTGATTTTCTTCATCGTACCCCAATAAAATCTTTATCTTCCGAAGTCTCTATATTCGTATTCAAGCATAAAAGTATGCTTGAATAAGAAATCTGTACGCTTGTATCCATTTAATATTTTAAATTTAATTATTTTTAATGAAAGAACAATTTCTTGGTCAACTGACAGAAGGATTTACTGAATTTTTCGATTACATTTTGGAAAAATGCAGATTCCGTGTTGGTAGATTTTGCCCATTTTACTTCGAGATTTTTATTTTTTATTCCAAGTCTTATACATATATCGTATTTATTAATTTTCTCAATTATAAATAGTGAGACCGTATGTAACAGCACGGTGTCATTTAAAGATTTATTGTCATTTTTTGGTGCCAGAAATTTCCTTTTTTAATTCCATGAAAGAAGAAAAACTGCGAACTTCAGCCTTCTGTATATTTTATGTTCGAAGCTTTTGTATATATTTGTGTGAAAACAGCGTGTTATAGAAAATGTAGAACATATTTAGTAATGAAAAAATTTACCTACGGTATGTATTTATTCCAGCTTGTTCTGAACCACAAAAATCGCACTCTTCTTTTGTCGCGGGTTATAAATAAGTGGAATAAGTCCTCAATTGAGTTCAAGCTATTTATTTCACGTGACACTTTTTGAATTGATTCTCTTTTTCGGACTTGTGGGTTGACCATCACGCGATTGAATCATTTTCCCGGAAATAATTCTCGGGTTCCCTTTTCATATACCATCACGCAAAAGCTGCTGAAAGACCGCAATCAAGCTGAGAGTAGGAAAATAGCAGGTACTACCAGCGTTTCAAGCTGGGGTGTAATTCCACACAGATGATTTTCAACAACCTGAAATCCATATATATATAGTCACGAACGAGTTGAGTTGAGGTACTTTCCCTGCAGTATGTTGTACTGTAGTACAGTATTGTACACCGAATATCGCTCGAAGCAACAATTTGAATGTTATTGTGGGTAGCACCTGGATGTATATAGACATTTTAGAGTGGGTAACGTTGTGATAATATATGCTTCATCGTGCACAGCAACATTTTCCAAAACACCACGCCCAAACATAACTATAATACTGAAGAATATAAAGGTGAAAACTCATATACTGTACAGTACTGCACAGTATATGTATACGCAACATATATGCGGCGTAATATAAAGCAACTCAGCAAGCTATATACACGACGATTAATCACGCTGACAAAACCGAGCGGACAATAAAGACAATACTATAGGTACTTTGAATGCAACTTATTAAGGATATAATGCACTCATTCACACATGATCACATTTATTTCTGTTTTGATGGAAGGATTGCATAAAATTAAATGAGACCACGCGTATATTATACGCATGTTCTTCGCGCCTGACAGCAGTCATCTCACGGTTTCCCGAACCCAAATTCGTAGCTCTGAGGCACAAACGTGTCCGCGAACGACATCTTGCTTCAAAGGCGGAGTTATGAGGCTTGCGGTCAATGTACTTATGTTTATTCCCCGGGATAGTTGCCATGTGACCCTCGCCAACAACTCGTATGCCCAAGCTTTCATCTCAATTCACGTGAAGTTTAGAAAGCTGTGCCACCCTTAGACAAGGGGACAACTCCCCGAATTACCTCACCCGTTCAGAGAGCCCACGCACAGAAGCTTACCTGATCGAGGATCAGTGGATTGTTGGGAGAGGAACGAGATGGAAGAGGACTTATGTCTTGACCTCTTCACTTGAAAGCATCTTGCATTTTATCTGTGACCTGTTATGTGACACCGTGTCTAGTCGTGAAGGATTAATCTTGTGCTTTTAAAATTTGGTCGAAGTTATTGACTCTGGGAACAACCCTTACTGTTTCATGGGAGATCATGGAGTGTTCTATTTGCCTGGGGAATATTTGGCATTAGATGCATGACTGGGTTGGTCACCACGTGACCGAAACTTAAGATGGAAGTACTGTTGAATGGAAGTAAAAGAAGCGTGCATTGCTTGTGCAAATGGCGGTACGTGGGGCAGAAAAGGTGTTTCCATGGTACCTCAACATTGTTGAAAAGAGTGGGTTATTGCTGCATCGGCGTCCGAATCCGGCATCTGAACAATGTGAACTTCTACCCTTTTTTTTAGAATCGGGAAGATCATGCATTAGCAAACATCGATGCTGCTTTTACAATTATGTTTTCTCTTTTTTGATTTGGCCGTGCAAATTCCTTTTCTGAGAAATGTGTGTGTATTCTTGAGATCCATTGCTTTTGACGGAATAGCAAATTCAAACTGAATGATTATTTTCTTTACGTGTCCAGAATTTTCTTTCGGCTTTGAAATTTTAGCTTCGTGAACGCCCTCCAACTTGAAGATGAGCGCCGAAGGAACTCCTCGTGAAAGAACCTTCATCTGTGTCAAGCCTGACGGTGTCCAACGGGGTCTTGTCGGTGAAATCATCAAGCGCTTTGAGCAAAAGGGCTTCAAGCTCGTAGCGCTGAAGATGATGCAGGCGTCCGAGGAATTGCTGAAGAATCACTATGCTGACCTTTCTTCAAAGCCCTTCTTTGCTGGTCTCGTCAAGTACATGGGTTCTGGACCTGTCGTGCCCATGGTGAGTTCCTAGGAAGTTCGGAATTCATTGTGTAGATAAGTGTAAAAATCAACTTTACAATGTTCCACGCTAATCTAGTCAGCTTCCGTGAACAATGGCCTTTTTTTGTTCAAGTCATGGCGATTTATGTTTCAGGTTTGGGAAGGACACGGAGCTGTCAAGATGGGCAGAATGATCCTGGGAGAAACAAATCCTGCGGATTCTAAGCCTGGAACAATCCGCGGAGACTTTTGCGTTGAGGTTGGAAGGTGAGGAACTGTACAAGTGCCGGTGTTTTTTATTACCTGTTTTGTTGAAACTTCTGACTTCTCCGTGTGTACCGTGAATTAGGCAGAAGTTCACGGTCACATTCTTCATGTGATTGGAGTGGCCGTTTTTCCGTATACTTATTTAAGATGTTGGAAAAATAAATTTAAAACAAGCTGGGCTTAATTTAGTAGGATAAAACCTTTCTAACTAATTTCGATATTTTTTCAACCGCTCTTGGGAATAGCAGATCTTACATGAATGGACGAAAGTGTTCCCTTGAGGATGTACATATGTGTTTTTGGCTCATTCCAGGAATGTCGTGCACGGCTCGGATGGTGTGGAGTCCGCGAAGCGGGAAATCTCCATGTGGTTCAAGGATACTGAATTGAACTCATGGGGCCAGTGCGCCGAAAGCTGGGTGTACGAGTAGGCTACTTCGTTCTTCCAAGTCTTCGAAGAAATTGGCAGGAGCAGCAACTTTGAATGATCGTAGTTGTTGCCCCGGCATATCAAGAACTGTCATCCTGTGCATGAGAAATGTGAAGCTTGTTAGATGCGCGACGAGATCAGGAATAAATGCCGAAGTCGATGCGATGTCTTGTTTATTTTTATGGGTTAATGTGTTAATTGGAGCCCTGCTGAGGTACTCGGTAAGTTTTGAACGGATTTTTCAGCTTTGATTGTTCACATACAACCCATAATTTGGGTGCGAAGAAACTCTCATGATCATGACTCATTTACTCTGCTTGCCTTTTGTTCTCTTTGTTGAGAAGTTCTAAATCGATACTTCCAGCTTGATTAGAAAATCCTACTGGTGGGAGTCGAATTTTGTTCTACAGTTCCCGAGAAGGTAGTTAGGGTATGTTGAATTTAATGATAGACTAGCCCTGCAATTTGGATGGCTACATCATTTATCCGAAATGATGGTACTCCAGATGTAATATCCTCTCAAACGAATGATGTTGCCCTTCTTTTGATGCCTTGATCGTGCAATTGCACATATCTAGAATTTTAGAAGAAAGTTTCATTTTACGAATTCATTTTCGAAAGTAGGAACATCTTGTGCTTCCTTCTGGACTCCCTTTCATGTCAAAACAGCAGATTCCATGTGGTTTTCTCTTGAACATAATTATAATTTGAGAAACTTTTTTAATGGTTTTGCCTGAAATCGGAATTGTTGTACGGTATAACATTGTTTTGCTGATGGAGAATGGCTGGTATTTTGATTTCCAATCTTGCTTCAAAACATTGATGACAGTACTGTACTTCATTTTTTTTTTGAGTATGAAGTAAATTTGGGTATAATGCTGTATTTACTGCATTACTCACACAGTATTTTATTCACTGCCTTGATGTTGATGGTCATTCCGATTTTCAGTGAAAAATGAAGTAAAAGCTTATGCGATATATACAGTATATATATATATGTCTTTTTTTCAATAACTGAGGCAAGAGAAAGTCTCTTTAATTCGAAATCCAAGGGTGTAGCACCGTAACTATCCTGAAAACTCACTGGGTTGCGAATACAGTAAGTCCAGATTTTGCTGCTCAGATCTTTGACATTACCGTGAATGCGTATGCATATGTCTGCCGTCCTGAGATTCAGGAGTGTGTCACGTTGAGGAAGTTGGCAAGAGATCGCGGGCTTAGTCCTGTTTGAGGCTCTGTGGTCGATTGAGAATGTTCCCATTTGTTTGTGTGGAAATCAATCTAGTGTGTACAGTGAGTGAAATAAGCCGAGGTCATTGTATTTGATTGGTCGAAGACCCAGTCAGATTCACCCGTTTACTTTCAAGGTTTCTTCATTGTGTGAAGGCTCACATCCATAGAATTTGATGAAACTCAGTTCTAATCAGTTTTAGATTTCGTTTCTTTCTCTTCCTATCGAGTTTCGGTTGCTTAACCTTCACAATTCCGGCTCACTTTGATCCATCACCGCAGAAATGGCTAATATTGCCGTGCAGAGAGTTAAAAGGGAATTTAAGGATGTGATGAGGTGCGAAGAGGTAAGAGATGTTTCTCCGTTAGTTCGAATGTGTGAGTTGATTTTTCTTTTTCTTTTTTAGATTCAAAACTGTGACATCAAGGTGGAGTTGGTGAATGATAGTTATTTGGAATTGCGAGGATGGATTGGTGGCCCACCTGGAACCCCGTACGAAGGCGGGAAGTTCGAACTTGAAATCAAAATCCCAGATTCGTATCCATTCAATCCTCCAAAGGTGTCGTTCTTATCTATTTTACATATGGTGGATTCATTACAGTCGAGTTCTGTCACAGGTTCGATTCACCACTCAAATCTGGCATCCGAACATCTCGTCTGTTACCGGTGCCATTTGTTTGGACATATTGAAAGATCAGTGGTTAGTTGGCAATCATTTTGTCTTTTTGGTTCCTTTTTTCAATTATCCTTTGTCTCGTTTTTTTTTTTTTTTAATTGTACGTGACAGGGCAGCTGCAATGACTCTCAGGACCGTTTTGCTCTCTTTGCAAGCGTTACTCTCCGCTCCTGAGCCTGATGATCCACAAGATGCTATGGTAGCTCAGCAGTACAAAAACAGTTCCTGTATGTTCTACTCTACTGCAAGGTATTGGACGCACGTCTACGCTGGAGGTGAGAATTACGTTGCATTTCATCACTCTTTTCATGCAAGGAAGTCGTTTTGGGAGATTTGAAGTTCTTGGTCGAATCTCATCTTGATCTATTTTTCAGCCGCGAGTGGCGATCGAGCAAGTGAGCATAAAGAGTTCGACGAAAAAGTGAAGCAATTGCAAGATATGGGCGTTTCGGATGTACCGGCAAGATCGGCGCTGTCAATATGTAATTGGGATCTTTCAAAAGCTGTCGAGCAGATTTTCAAGTGATCGTGTGGTAGCTAGAGAAGCTCATTGTGGGAACGATGAGCAAAAAAATCGAAACCTTGCGTTTTTATTCATCGAGCCTGATGAACTTCCGCGATTTTTTTTTCATCGCGTGCTGAGGTCATTCCTGGGTGATAGGTTTCATCTTCGAGTCCCCCATTAGTGCATCACTTCGGGTTAATTTTGGACCGCGTGCTCGGATCGCTTTGACGTGTTTATCTCAAGCATCTCATGTGTATCATTGTTCCTCTAATTTTTCTTTTTTCCTAAACAAAAAGTTCGATTGCCCTGGTTTTCAGTTGTTTTTATTTTATGAAGCGTGGACCTGTTTTCACGAGATAGAAAGCATACCCAAGCTTCTGTTTATATATTCTGAGACGATGGCATGCTGAATTAGTTATATAGCTCCTACTGTAAATTGCAGAAAGATTATCTCGTAAACTTCGAAGTAAGTGATACCATTCGGAAAGGAGAACCGAAATTTCAATTTAGGCATGAAACACATGTCCCGTTACATCTTCTATGAGTTTCATTCTTGAATTTTGATATGGCCTCTGTAATAATTTTACGTAGTCTCCGTTCCGTCAAAATTCGTAATTAATTCATCTTCGACCAATAACTTATCAACTACTGTGCTTCAGAAAAACGAATGACACCTGTGAAATAATTTTCTGTGATCCTTGTTCTCGACGATTCTAGAAGACGTGAAAAGGCTGCTTTTCTTACGGAAAGCACATGATTTTTTCTATGCAATGAGCGATTTTTAAACATTTTAAAATGAGGAAATATTTGGAAGGGTTGAAACGTGCTACATGATTCAAGAGGTCCAAAAATGAATGAAAATCACCAGGCTCTTGAATTGTCTGCATTTATTAATGTTTTGATGGGGGTGGGTTGTAATTTTTCATTAAATTGTATAGGATGAATTTGTAATGTTCGTTCTAATTTAGGCTGTTTTAAAGGAAAACATCGTGAATTGCGTGATTTTGGCTTAATCCCAGAGGTATTCTCAAGTTGATGATTTTTTTGAATCATGGAAGCTCCTCTTGCCTATCAAACTTCATCCATCGTCCTAGAATCGTCTGAAAACGTTGGTTCGTGAAAGGATGACCTTTTCTTCAATTGCAGGAAAACTTCTTAGAATTTTTGTTCGAGATAATGGTGCGTGCGTCTCCCGTGAGGGAGAGGCGTAGGTCAAAATCTCCGAAACGTGATCGGGGAAAAGAGCGTGAACGAGATCGTCGCAGGTCTAGAAGTCGAGATCGAGGAGAAAAACGTCGCAGGGATTCAAAAGAAAAGGAGACTCCTTTCAAGCGTTCAAGGAGAAGAGAACGTTCAGGAGAAGAGCGCCGAGACCGCAGTCGTTCTCCGTGAGTCCCGATTTTTTAATTACGATACTTCAGTATACACCTCGAAACGCTTCAGTAAAATTCTTGAAAGCTGTATCTGCACGCGTGTGGGCTGGATTATTATTTTTATTTTTTGTAAGGAAAATCCTAGGAAATCACAAAACTGAAAAAATTTATGTGCCCACCCTTTCATTGTTTTTTTTTCTAGGCTAGCGTTTTTGTCGTGCAACCACCGAAGTCCTGTGACCCGGGATGGGGTTAAATTATTTATTTGGTATTGATCCTATCGTCTTTTCAGATCGCATCATGATGAGATAGCGGAAACGAAAGCAGAAACCACGGAATTGATTCCAGAAGAGGAGAAACCTGTCAAGAAAGAACCTCTCTCTTTAGAAGAACTCCTGGCGAAAAAAAAGGCTGAGGAAGAAGCTCGAAGCAAGGTAATTTGCTTTCATCAATCACGTACAATTTTTCGTAATCGTAGATTAATGTAACGTGATACAGTTCCACTATGTCATTGGCTATTCTAAATTTGTCCAACAAATTTCAACTCAGTTTTACGAAGCAAGCGAAGGCACAAATAAAAAATATTGTTTTCTCGAACGTCTGTCTTTGCCTTCTTTAAAGGCGGGCATCGCGATTCTGATACGCTAACCTGACTGAGAATATCCTCATGACCTTAAGCCACCCTAACCTAACTTGAGTTTTGAGTTCCTGGCCCTGAATTCGGAAAGTAATGAAGGTACAATGATCAAGGAAGTCGCGCAGCCAAAAATGTGTCGTTGTGTTCCTCCATTCGGTTTCCCTCCCAGTAAAGTACAGTTTTAAATGTGCCATTTTTATTCCTTGATTGACACTGGTGGACTCTCTCTCAACAACGAAATTCGAGGGCTCAAAAAAAATGTAAGGAGAATTTCGTTGTAGAGAACCCCTGAACATGGTAGAGAACCCTATTGGACCCTACAAAAATTTCGTTATACTGTACTGAGAAAATCGTTAGAGACACAATCTTTGTCAAGATAGTCTACCTGTATTGCTGGTAACGTTTAGTGTTGTACTATTATCTGAGTTTCCTTCATTTTTTATTTTAGCCGAAGTTCCTCACAAAAGCAGAACGACAAGCGGAGGCTCTGCGGAAACGCCAAGAAGAGGTAGAAGCGATGCGGAAAAAGACGGAGGAGGAACGCTCGAAAAGACATGAACCTAGTGAACCACTTCCTTCATCCGGAAGTAGTCGTAGGGATCGCGAAAGGGAACGTGAACGAGATCGAGATCGGGATCGCGAGAAAGACCGAGCTGCGAGACGCGACGTTGATAAAGAGAAGGCTGAGGAAGCCATCAAAGAGCGCTACTTGGGCATGGTGAAGAAGAAACGGCGGGTGCGACGTATGAACGATCGTAAGTTCGTGTTTGATTGGGACGCCGGCGAAGATACGGCTGTGGACTACAATCCTATCTATAAGGAAAAGCATCAGGTTCAGTTCTATGGAAGAGGCCACGTTGCTGGCATCGACATCAATCAACAAAAAGTGAGTTCCGTGCGAGAGAGAACGTCTTGTGTGCGTTATATTTCCATATACGAGGGATCTAAAAAAAATTCTCGGGATAGAAATTGAAGTGGGATGTGGTTGAGCTGAAAATCAATTCTTCCGAAAAAATATTTTTTGACTAAAAAATTCAGCCCTGTTAAACTTGTTGTTGCAAAAGTCATCCTAGCAGCTTTCTCTGCTCTTCACTCAAGGGATGAGGCGCCCATCTCGCCGATTATTTTTTTTTTTTTTGCCCAGCTTCTCTTTTAAAATCGACGTGACATTAATTCCATCAGTTGCCTCCCGAGTCTTCCAAGGTAATTCCCCCATTTTTATCAACAGCCGCCACATTCTCATCCGAAGTGGCGGTTTTTAATTGAAATAGCGGATTAGTAAACAATGGATGACCGCACCCCTTGGAATTAATGCCATGTCAATTTCAAGAATTCTGAAGGAGAAACTAGGCCACACAAAAAAATCTTCGAGACGGACGCCTCATCTTTTGAGAGAAGAGCAGAAAGGGGCTAGGGGACTTCTCATTTTTTATTTTTCGGAAAAATGTGTCCAACAGGGTCTGATTTTTCTCAACAATACTTGTTTTTCAGCTGAATCGTGTGCTGTTTCGGGTTATATTCCGAAAAAAAATTTTTGACCTTTCTTTTTTTTAGGTTACGTAAGATATCTGCGTTTTCAAATTTTCTTTTTGTTCAAGTGATGCTTCGAATGAGATGTAAATTACTTATTCCGCATTAAAATATTGCAGAAAGATCAGAGCAAGTTTTACGGCGATTTGCTGGAAAAGCGCAGGACGCAGGCGGAAAAAGAGCAAGAAATCATGCGTCTCAAGAAGGTCAAGAACAAGGAAGAAAAGCAGAAGTGGGACGATCGTCACTGGTCTGACAAGGAGCTCGAGCAGATGACTGAACGGGACTGGCGTATCTTCCGCGAAGACTACAACATCACCGTCAAGGGCGGGAAATTGCCCAACCCATTGCGTTCTTGGAAAGAAGCCAATTTGTGCGAAGAGCTGGACGCCATCATCAAGACCTTGGGCTACGATGAACCCACGCCGATTCAGCGTCAAGCCATTCCGATCGGGCTCCAGAATCGGGACATCATTGGTGTGGCTGAAACGGGTTCGGGTAAAACAGCCGCTTTCTTGTTGCCACTACTTGTGTGGATCATGTCGTTGCCGAAAATGGATCGGCAGAAGCAGAGCGACGAAGGGCCTTATGCCATGATCATGGCCCCGACTCGAGAACTGGCTCAGCAGATTGAAGAAGAGAGCAACAAGTTTGGAGGTCCGTTGGGAATCCGCACCGTCGCTGTTATCGGTGGTTTGAGCAGGGAAGAGCAAGGCTTCAAATTGCGTCTCGGTTGCGAGGTGAGATGTGCCCAAGTTTCGGACTAGCTCCGGATTAAAACGCAGTTTCTCTCCTGATGGCCCTGTAAATTAGCTTGCAAATTTAGAAGCACAATTCATATATATATTTTTTTTCAATGGATTTGAGTTGTAAATTGGGTTGCTGTACGATTTGCCTGGTTATTTCTGTCCAGGTCATGAATGCGTTTGATATTTGCTTTTTAAAACATGGGAAAGTATTAATTTTGTCTTTCTTCAATTAGATTGTCATTGCTACGCCTGGGCGATTGATCGACGTCCTGGAGAACAGATATTTGGTGTTGAGCCAATGTACGTACATTGTTTTGGACGAGGCCGACAAAATGATAGACATGGGTTTCGAACCCGATGTCCAGAAAATCCTCGAACACATGCCTGTGACCAACTTGAAGCCGGACACCGACGATGCGGAAGATGCAGAAAAGTTGATGGCGAACTTCGCCACGAAGCACAAATATCGTCAGGTGATTCATCAAAACTGTTTGATTCTCTGATGAGGGTGCACATCTGAACGGAAAGTTAAAAAAAAAGTAATTGAGACAGTAAGAGCAGAAAAATTTGAAGTCTTAGGGGAAGTTGAGGACAGCGTCCTCAACTACGTGGGGTCAAGTGAATATTTTTTTACGATTTTAGTGATACCGACTCTTGTGCACAAATAGTCTTATCTACTATAATCGGCATACCGTATATTCCTTTAAATACGGTATTGTACGTAAGTCAAGGCAGTTCAGATTATTGATGCTTGAAGAGCTGTCTGCTTAGGCAATGCTTTCTCTTTTCTGGCTTGAAGTTTTCAAACTTTCTCGTCTGTGCTCATTCTGTTTCGATGCTTGATTTTGTTATTGTTTCTCTTTCAATGCGAAATATTTTGAGTTTTGAGGCTATCAATTTATGGTTTTCTGTTGCACGCTCGGTTGTTCAATTTGTGAGCTTCGGTGCTATTTTTTTCATGCGGATTCTTTTGTGCACTTCGATTCTTGAAACTTTCTCGGTCTACTTCTTATTTTCTTAGCTCAATTTTTGTATGCTTGCTATTTTGAAACTTGCACTCATAAGGCGCAGTATCTTGTGATATAGAGTGATTTTCTCTTACTTGATATTCTTCGTTCAATTTTGTTTTTCGCGTAGTAGCGGTTTTTGATGGATGTGCAAGCATCTTGTCTCCGACGAAATTGTCTCTACAGTACGGATGTTTTATTTCAGACTGTAATGTTCACGGCTACTATGCCTCCTTCAGTGGAGAGGCTGGCGAGAACTTATCTGCGTCGTCCGGCTACGGTTTACATTGGTTCAGTTGGTAGGCCCACGGAAAGAGTGCAGCAAATCGTGCATATCATCAGTGAGCAACAGAAGCGCAAGAAGCTCATCGAGATTTTGGATCGGAAAATTGATCCTCCTATTATCGTGTTTGTTAACCAAAAGAAGGGTGCCGACGTGCTTGCGAAGGGCTTGGAGAAACTTGGGGTAAGTTTTTCAGGTTTTTTGCACTTTTTTGTAGCTCCGCTCCGTGGAATGTCTGACAGATTGTTAATCTGAAGAGGCATTTTTGATATTGATTTATTTGCTGGAGCTCCTTTTTTGATTACTTACGTGTACTCTTTGGGATGCAAAAATGAATACGGTACCTTAAAAAGCTCTTCCGTTTTAAATTGTGGACCCGCAAGTTTATGTCTGTTCTTCACGGACCCGACTCCAACAGAAGACTGTGTAACGAATTCTTTCGTGGGTTCTGGATTATTGGTGTTGAGAATTTCGTTCAGGTTTTTTTTTTAATATTCACTGAGAAAATCTTTGAATTTTATCTTTTTTTTTTTCGAAAATTCCCGAATTTTAGTAGCAATTTATTTAGCTCTTATTTTTTGAAATTGTTGCTCAGAAATGGGTGCATCCTGTACACGGAGGAATTCGGTAATTGACGTATCAAGTAATGGCAGAACATCATTTTTCTGTTTTCATCGTTGGCAGCGAATTTTTGTGCCGAATTATCGATTTAAATAGTGATTTTATTGTTTTTCGTTTAGTATAACGCGGTTACCTTGCACGGAGGCAAAGGACAGGAGCAGCGTGAAGTTGCTTTGGCAAGTCTCAAATCCGGAGCCAAGGATATTTTGGTGGCGACAGACGTTGCTGGTCGTGGTATTGATATCAAGGATGTATCGATGGTCATCAACTACGACATGGCGAAGAACATCGAAGGTGATTGTCGTCTAGTGATCATCATGTTGTCTCTTTCACTCGACTGTGGTCTTCGTTTTTTTTTCTTCTTTTTTTTTTTTCAAGAAAGCATGTACAGGTACAGTATATTAATGGGCCATGATCTTATGAAATCCATGCACATTTTTATGCGTATAAGGATAAATATACTTCGTTGAGCTTCGGAGAATTTTAGGCAAAACAACTCTGCTACTTCATCGTCCCCCAAAATTGAATATTTCTTTGGATTATTTTTTAACTAAAAGTACATGGCTTAGAATTTATCTCTTCAATGCTATTTTGTATCTGGAAATTCCACTCGTAACAGTTCTACTCGATTCCTAGTGTATTCAAAGGTTGTTCACTGTCGTTGAAAATATATTACAGTATTTTCTATCGTTCACCATTGGAATTTGTGTTTGCTGTAATTTTTTAAAGCAGTCGAAAAAGGAAAATTTTATATTTTGCGAGACTGATGTGAGTTTGTCACGAAACTCGGCTAATTCTTCAGACGTGTGATTTTTTTTGTGTTGATTGCGAGTACTTTATACTCATTTTTGGGGCTATGTCAATTTTTACGGAATGTAGACATATTTATTCATGTTCTATGTTTAGCTTTGAGGCTACAGAAATCTGACTGCTTTCGCTTCATGTTTCATAGCATTTTCTCTACGGATTTTTGCTACTTGTTCCTAATGGAGTTTTGAAACACTTCTAAAAACAACAAGGTGACCGCATAGCTCTTGCAAATTTTTATTCAATTACGATGCAGTTTGATTTTGATATAAATTTGATGTCAGCGTTTTGTCATTCATGCAATTCATTTGTTTCCTTTTTTTGATTCCGCAGATTATACTCATCGTATTGGAAGAACGGGTCGTGCCGGAAAACACGGTATCGCTGTTTCTTTCTGCACCCAAGACGACTCTGGGCTCTTCTATGATTTGAAGCAGTTGGTACTTTCCAGTCCCCTTTCCACGTGTCCTCCAGAGCTGACTAATCACCCGGAGGCACAGCATAAACCAGGAGCGATTGTGCAGAAGCGTCGAAAGGACGAAACGCTGTTTTTGCATTGAGAAGTGTGTGTGAGTGGTTTTGTTGGTCTGCAATTTTCTGGCGACGATCGAGCGAATAAACGCGGGTTGCGATTCTCCATTTTAAATTTATTGGAAATATTTTTTTGTTTTTTTTTAGCAGAAGACAGCTTTCTGTTTGCAAAAAAAAATTGAAAAGTGAGTTTCCGGTTTGTGAACATTTTGTTTTTTTATTGCGGTCGAATTCAAGATTTTGGTGATAATTTCGGAAGACGATTTCAAGTTTTTCTAATGCCGTGAGGATTTAGGGAAAAATGTTGGGTAACTTCGCCTGAAGTGCAATAGTTTTTTAGAATAGATGATCATTTTTGTAATGATTCATGTTTTGATTTCAGTTGCTGAAACTCGAAGATCGACAAAATTGTTTTGATTTGCCGAGTCCTTGGAAATTCAGAACTGTAATCGTAGTTTTAATATAGGTGTCGCTGCAAGCGTATGTTTTTCCTTTCCTTGATGCATCCGTGTAGCTGTCGCTGTTCGCATTTGGACTTCCGAGACAAGTGATAGTGCGAGTCGCATGAGACATACACTACATTGTAACATTGAATTTGAAATCAAGACATTCATGCGCATACGCGTGGTGCTTATCGATTTGTACGATTTTCTGATGAATTTATACATGTAGCGTATACAAAATCTTCATGATACTGCTGTATTTCATATGAGAATCGTGGCCCATGCATAACAAATTTTGCACTTACTAAAACAGAATTCGTGTAAAAAAAAAAAGCAACTTTGTGCGAAAACTGTATGAATACAGAGGAATCAACGCTTGGAATTTTTTCTATAGGCACAGCAAATGTAAAATCCGGAAGGAAAGTCAAATTGTTGCCTTTTTCGTTCCCGCGCCAATAATTTGTGAATTTCAGAAAGTTGAGAGCGTAAAATTCGGAAATGTTCTCCAATTCCATAGTGGAATAAATTCGTCTTCTAATGTTTTACAAGATTTTTCGTGCGTGTTCTGGAATAGATAATATATTTTACATCATTGAACTTCAGGAAAGTCGTATGATTTATCCATGACGAAATTTCACGGAGAAGAGAAATTCTGGAACGGATCAATTTCTTTTTAGGGGACCCGCTTCAGTCACTTGTACAAATGACATGGCGCCGCTGTTTCCCCTATTTACAATACAATATTTCGACGAACATTTTCATAACAAGGAGAGCTCATGAACATTTCCCCGACTTCCTGTGCCGAATTTTATCAACACCTATGCGTGTATATATACAGTAGTACTGTACTTCGAACTAGACAGAGGGGGGGGGGGGGTTAAGTTGGAGAAACCAGTTTATCCAACTGCCAAAAGTGAGAAAGAGATCGACCAAACGGTGCTTCTCCCCCACCATACATCCAGTCACGCACCTCCAAACATCTGCTTGTTTATTGGGTTCACTGCTGCGCTGCCGTGTATGTATACGGTATATACAGTACTGTATTCCTGAACGCCATCCAGTGCGGAGGAAATGTTTTCCTCCTCCTGCTTGTTGGCTTGATCCATATGGAACAACTTCTATCTCTGGCCACAAAAATAAACCAAAATATTTAGAGGCTGGACAAAAAGGAACCTCACATCATCACATGTATTCCATGAGATATGATTTATACAAATTTCTTTGATGAATCAGAAATAACTTTTTTAGCTTTCAAGTAGCTACATTTTCCTTATTGATTTAAAGTGAAGTACAGCATGTGAACGATGAAAAAAATCGATAGCAGTTTACATCAATTGGATTCAATTTCTTTATACATATTTACATATACGGTACTTTAGGCCTACAGTTTGCAGTAGAGTATAATTTTTTAAACTTTAGACCTATACTTTATATCATTGTAAAAATTTTATTCATTCATTTTTGTGTGCCCCTGCGTGAAAAGTGCGTTATGATTTTTACTGGGGAAAATTAAGGGTAAAATCTATCTATACTTGAATGTTCGCATGCATTTTTGCCAAATTTTCATGTTCTTTCTTGCCGAAACTCCTGTATGGAGAAGTTGTTCACATATGGTACACAATACACAACTATACTGCAGTCTTTTTTAATGGAATTGCTGCTTGTTTTTTATTGAAGAAGAGAATCAATTTTTTGCCCGTCCCAAATTCCCAATTAACAGCATGCATTTCAAGAATAAAAACTATTTCAATTTTATATTTTTGCAAAAGCTACGAGGTTGCGTTGTCAAGTTTTGTCACGCGATTTAATATTTATTCAACTTTTTTGAAACCCCCTCGCTCGTTGCTTGCGTGTAGTACATTATTTTTATAAGGGAAGTTTCCGGCGTGGAAAAAAAAAAACTTGATTGGTGTTCTGCACACTGTGTGGAAGTTCGCATAGTAAAGCTATCAGTCTTATCAGCAAAATAAATGTAGAAGTCTTGATGAGTCACATTATGTGCCAAAAAATATAGCAAAACGCCCTCCCCTGGAATGAAAATCAATGTTGAGGGAGGAGATAATATGATCCCTGCAAATGTCTGTGGGATTCTGCTGATGAGTTATTTTCTGGGATTTGACACTCTTGAATCATGAAAAAATGAAGCAGAATCTTTTTTGCAACAAATCTCTTCATGACAAATTGTTGCTCAAAATAATTTCTTTTAGGTCTCTGCAGTTTAGCAAGGGTGTTGGTAATTCAAGTCTATAGAGACACAGCATTATTTTCACATTTTTCATTGCAACAAAGTATTTCTTCTTGGGTTTTTGTTTCTTGAAAACAATCCTGCTGCATTGCATTTCCACAAACCACGGGCTGACATTTATAGAGAAGAAAATGACACCCAGTCCCAGCTAGGTGCATGTGAGAAGGGTCATTATTTTCATCAGATGATTTTAAACTTGATAACTTTCTCCTTTTAAAACAGTATGCAATTGCGTGAGAAATTCCCAAATGCTGCGANGGGGGGGGGGTTAAGTTGGAGAAACCAGTTTATCCAACTGCCAAAAGTGAGGAAGAGATCGACCAAACGGTGCTTCTCCCCCAACATACATCCAGTCACGCACCTCCAAACATCTGCTTGTTTATTGGGTTCACTGCTGCGCTGCCGTGTATGTATACGGTATGTACAGTACTGTATTCCTGAACACCATCCAGTGCGGAGGAAATGTTTTCCTCCTCCCCCTTGTTGGCTTGATCCATATGGAACAACTTCTATCTCTGGCCACAAAAATAAACCAAAATATTTAGAGGCTGGACAAAAAGGAACCTCACATCATCACATGTATTCCATGAGATATGATTTATACAAATTTCTTCGATGAATCAGAAATAACTTTTTTAGCTTTCAAGTAGCTACATTTTCCTTATTGATTTAAAGTGAAGTACAGTATGTGAACAATGAAAAAAATCGATAGCAGTTTACATCAATTGGATTCAATTTCCTTATACATATTTACATATACGGTACTTTAGGCCTACAGTTTGCAGTAGAGTATTATTTTTTAAACTTTAGACCTATACTTTATATCATTGTAAAAATTTTATTCATTCATTTTTGTGTGCCCCTGCGTGAATAGTGCGTCATGATTTTTACTGGGGGAAAATTAAGGATAAAATCTCTCTATACTTGAATGTTCGCATGCATTTTTGCCAAATTTTCATGTTCTTTCTTGCCGAAACTCCTGTATGGAGAAGTTGTTCACATATGGTACACAATACACAACTATACTGCAGTCTTTTTAATGGAAGTGCTGCTTGTTTTTTATTGAAGAAGAGAATCAATTTTTTGCGCGTCCCAAATTCCCAATTAACAACATGCATTTCAAGAATAAAAACTATTTCAATTTTATATTTTTGCAAAAGCTCAAAGGTTGCGTTGTCAAGTTTTGTCACGCGATTTAATATTTATTCAACTTTTTTGAAACCCCCTCGCTCGTTGCTTGCGTGTAGTACATTATTTTTATAAGGGAAGTTTCCGGCGTGGAAAAAAAAACTTGATTGGTGTTCTGCACACTGTGTGGAAGTTCGCATTGTAAAGCTATCAGTCTTATCAGCAAAATAAATGTAGAAGTCTTGATGAGTCACAATGTGTGCCAAAAAATACAACTTTGCGGGAGGGGACCTTACTTTTAGTTACAACTCCCTCCTCTATTATACTAGGGACGTTTACAGACACCCTAAGACGACTACTCAATAAAAGACCCTAAACTGTGAGAACTTAGTACTTTTTTACTAGCAGAATCTTTTTTGCAACAAATCTCTTCATGACAAATTGTTGCTCAAAATAATTTCTTTTAGGTCTCTGCAGTTTAGCAAGGGTGTTGGTAATTCAAGTCTATAGAGACACAGCATTATTTTCACATTTTTCATTCGTTGTTTCATAAAGAAGAACCCAAAAACAAAGAACTTTTGTTAGGACGACGTAACGTAAAGGTGTTTGGTGCCCGACTGTAAATATCTCTTCTTTTACTGTGGGTCAGGGTCGATCCACGTACACTGAAGGGTCATTATTTTCATCAGATGATTTTAAACTTGATAACTTTCTCCTTTTAAAACAGTATGCAATTGCGTGAGAAATTCCCAAATGCTGCGACTGTTATCAGGTAAAGTTGACAACAATTTTCAAGATTACAGGTGTATCCTAAATATACACAAGAGATAATGAATTAATTGTTCAAATTACGTTAAGTGGAGTTATGCCCGCATTCTTATCAAGAAGATATTGAAAAGTTCTAAAACTTTTGCTTTTCTATCAAGGGTTGGTGCTTATGGTGCAGTTAAATTTAAAAAACATTGGGTGCAACTGAATATTTTTTTTTAAGTTGGAAGAGTGAGTGAGACAAAGCCAAAAAGTTTTCAACATGGATAATTACAGGCCTTTTGCTTAGTTTGTTTCGCATGAAGGAATATGTTGCAGCAAACGCCCTGAAAATATGCCTAAGTAATTATTTCATCAGAAAAGGGATGAATCTTAATTGAAATGGGGAGCTTTGATCCCTTGATTAAATTTAAATGACTTGATACACAGGATAACTTGAAATCTTCTGGCTAAAATTACCCCATTATGGAATTAACTTTTTCAAAAAAAAAAGAATTCATAGAAAGAAAACACTTATTTGTACTTGTTTGAACCATCTGTGTAGAAATTCAATAAATGTTTGGTACAAAACAAAGAACAAGAATATCTAGCACTAAAAAATAAAAATAAATGAGTGAGCAATGAAAATTCCACCAAGAAACTTAATTAAAAAACCACCTTCAGAGGTTTGTTTAAACCAGTCATGTAAATTCTTGGTTTAAAACTAAATACTAAGATCTGTATATACTACTATTTTTCACGTTCAACTTTAAAAAAGAATTCTTTCGGGTTTTACATAGTAGGGTCTTTTCAAACTTATAGAATTGTGCTTTAATATGTTCTCAGTAATTGCCTTGTGCTGTGATTTCCCCTTTTTATTTCTGTCATCTGAAAATAAAAAATATGGTAACTTATGCATTTGTATATACTATGATGTATTTTTTCTTTTAATATCCATATGTGATGCATTATATTTTTCCTTCTGATATGCCAGAATAATGTGTTTAATTTTTTTTTTGGGAAACGTTTTTTTGAAGCTTGTGAACGCTGTCAATAAGCAGCAAATAAAGCTTATTGTACTGTATATGAACCAATCAACAAAGCACAATACTGTACCACAAGTCCTATACAGCTCATCAACTTAGAGCAAAGATGGATTTATTGCCCCATGAAGTTGGTATACCATGCATGGGAGGAGAGTCAGTGGTGTTCTTGATTGATACTTTATGCGTATATTTTATATTAGAAAGCATAATGTATTGTACATTTTTAATAGGGGGACAATTTTCACGCACTCAGTAGCGTGGCAGCAGTTATTAGTGCAGTAAAAAAAAAAAACCAAACAGGGAATAAAGTGACCAGCATGAATCGGTTGCTGCTGAATTTCCCTGCTCCCTTTCTTCTGATGGTCTTGTCCACCACCACCATCATCATAAGCACCGCCTTGGTGGACTCCACCAGCATCAGCAGCTCCTTCAAGAGCCAAAGCCTTCATCAACATCACGGACTTTCTGTCAGTCGTTACCTGGGTCTGACCACCGTAAGGTGACGGTACATGGTTTAAATGGGCGCGTCGAAGTTCCTGAGCCTGCCCCTGCCCTAGCCACTGGAGTCTCCAAACGTTTTTTATTTTTTAAAATAAATAAAGTATATATATATATAGGCAGGGGGGTTCCTTTGTTCTTTGTATTATTTTGTTTTTTGCTTGTCCATTTTTCCTTCCCCCCCCCCCTAGCTTCACTCCCTTTCTTTCTTCTCTCTCTGTGCGCAATTTCGCACACCGGCATACAGTACAATATATTAGCAAAAAGAGAGAGAATGTCTGCCGTTTTTGGCTTTCTGCTGTTTATGTGTAAGGGCAACGCACTGCTGTTAAGCTTCCATACTAGCACATCATGGATGGCTATTCTGAGACTCGGCTATGCTGGTGATCTGGAACTAACTCATGCTGGGTTATAGTTACAGACTCCATATTTTTTTATGGAGCCGCGTTTATTTGCAAGCGTAAATATAATACAGGGTGCTTCAATAATAAACCGGAAATTTCAGTTGCGCAGGTTCTCTCCTGAAAATGATCAATTCCAGGATGCTTTTTTTTTTTTGCTGTGGGAAACGTACTGGTTTAACTTTTGTTAAAATTTAAAAATCATGGGTTTGAGACACTATAGAGAGAAATATATTTTTCTCAGATGGTACCTTGCAATTCAACCTTGTGAAATTTGACCATCCAGGAATTTGAAAGTTGAATTTTCAGGGAGGNAAAAAAAAACCAAACAGGGAATAAAGTGACCAGCATGAATCGGTTGCTGCTGAATTTCCCTGCTCCCTTTCTTCTGATGGTCTTGTCCACCACCACCATCATCATAAGCACCGCCTTGGTGGACTCCACCAGCATCAGCAGCTCCTTCAAGAGCCAAAGCCTTCATCAACAGCATGGAGAAAGACAGTCAGCAATGGACCCAGACTGGTGGCATTCCACTGCCATGTACCAAATTTACCCGCGCAGCTTCAAGGACTCGGACGGGGACGGGATCGGTGACCTCAGAGGTTTGCAAAAAATAAAAAAATATAAATAAAGTATATATATATATATAGGCAGGGGGGTTCCTTTGTTCTTTGTATTATTTTATTTTGTTTTTTGCTTGTCCATTTCTCCCCCCTCCCTCTCAGCTTCACTCCCTTTCTTTCTTCTCTCTCTGCGCAATTTCGCACACCGGCATACAGTACAATATATTAGCAAAAACGAGAGAGAATGTCTGCCGTTTTTGGCTTTCTGCTGTTTATGTGTAAGGGCAACGCACTGCTGTTGAGCTTCCATACTAGCACATCATGGATGGCTATTCTGAGACTCGGCTATGCTGGTGATCTGGAACTAACTCATGCTGGGTTATAGTTACAGACTCCATATTTTTTTTTATGGAGCCGCGTTTATTTGCAAGCGTAAATATAATACAGGGTGCTGCAATAATAACCCTGAGATTTCAGTTGTGGTTCCCTCCTGAAAATGATCAATTCCAGGATGCTTTTTTTTTTTTTTGCTGTGGGAAACGTACTGGTTTAACTTTTCTTAAAATTTAAAAATCATGGGTTTGAGACACTATAGAGAGAAATATATTTTTCTCAGATGGTACCTTGCAATTCAACCTTGTGAAATTTGACCATCCAGGAATTTGAAAGTTGAATTTTCAGGGAGGTTGACTCACAATTTGACCCTTGCCCCACAATTTGACCTGCTTTGGCAATTTGTTTGCATTTTTTGCATTGATATTTTTTTTTATTTCATGAAGTGTCTGGCAATTTGACCACTTTGCAATCTGACCCTAGTTTGGCAATGGATTAGTTTGCAATGCCTAGTTTGGAATGGCCATCCAAGGGTTGAATTGTGCCAAAATGGTGTGCAAAAGGTGCCTATTTTTTTGTACATTATTTTCAGGAAATAATGGACATGGCACATACATCCTGTAAATTTAAAATTGCGATGTCAGGTCACTGTGCAATTCAATAAATATTTTTTTTCATCTATGATTTTTAATCATGCATTAGACAGCACCTGATATAAAGACCAATAGTTTGAATTCAGGAAATGTAAGTTTTGCTGTAATTTTGACCCTGCATCATCATCATACACCAGCTTTAAATACAGGTGCAACTCTCCCTAGAATGATTTTTTCTCTAGTCCCCCATAGCTGGTCTAGCTCTCCCTATATAATAAAGGTTTTCTATGAATGAATGAATGAATGAGCAGAACACTTTATTTGCCGCTTTTCAGCGTTCACAAGGTTCAATCAAGATTTCC